CTCTCTCTCTTCCTTCCTTCCTTCCTTCCTTCCTTCCTTCCTTCCTTCCTTCCTTCCTTCCTTCCTTCCTTCCTTCCTTCCTTCCTTCCTTCCTTCCTTCCTATTTTTAGTTCCTTCTCCCTAAACTTCATCCTATCCAAATTTTGTAAGGTGTGTTTCTACTCTTCTGCTTTTTTCATCTTCCTGAGAAAAGTTACCCAATCTTAAAACATTCTGTGGGCCCGGACCTTATTCATATGGGTTGTGAGATATGTTATCTGAAGGTGGCATGCTTAGTGCTTCCTTCCGGGCTGGAAGGCTGGCCTTCAGCAGGGTAGCTGTGTTTGATTTCTTACACTGAGGGATTAGTTGCTGTGTTTATTCTGTGGACTCTCAGCCTCCCAGTGTGTGCAGACATCACGTGGTGCTGCTGACAGGAGATTTTGTTTCAGCGTAACTCGTTTATATGAATGTTAGTCAGGTGGAATGCAGAAAAAAACACTGGTGTCCAGGAGGTGTTTATGCAGCATATCTCCCCTCCTGTTTAGAACTAACCTCGCAAATTTCAGTGTTGTCAGATAAACTCTTTCCTTAGTAACTTCTGTGATACTTTTAAGTACATGTTGAATTTCTTTAGATAAGCCAGCAGGTGGCATTTGCATCTCATTTGAGGAAGCAGAACAGATGGAATTTGGAGTTCATTGTTTTTATTTTTTTAAAGCAAAAGTCTGTGCAGTTCTCAGTGGTGAAAAAGACAGCAGCATTTAATGCAAAAGTTCTGCATATTGAAATATTCTCAAGAATCTTCTGGAGTTGTTTAAAATAGAGCATATGCAATCAGATAGTCTTGTAGTTTGAAGAAACACATTCCTGTAGAGAACAGAAAGAACTGGGACTGATAATGCTGTGATTTTCTTGGATGAAAGGTGGAATAACTGAAATATTTGTGACATGGTGAAGGCTTTTTGTTTATTTTATAGGAGCTTTTCCCCGTTCTGTATATTAGCTACACAGCCATTTTTCTGCCTCCTTAGAGAAAGAGATAAAGCTGTACTAATACCTTACCTGCTTCTGACACTTGTGGCTTTTCCCTTCTCATTTTCCTGCAGCCGTTTCAGTGGGTACCCTGGTTCTGTTCTGCTTGGGTTTGCCTGTGGCTGAGTTCTGTTGCACGTGTCAACCTTCTGTGCCATAGGATCTGCTGCAAGATGTGGTCAGCTGCAGCACCTGCCGTGGCAGCAGATAGCTTCCCTCCAGCATCAGTCTGTTTGATGCAAATGGTGCACTGTGCTGACTGGCAATACACTCTTTCATGTCTAACGGAAAATGTGTTGTGTTCAACAGGTGAGAGGGTGGTTGCCTTTGCTGCAGTTGAAGGCATCTTCTTTTCGGGTTCATTTGCTGCTATATTTTGGCTGAAGAAGAGGGGCCTAATGCCTGGATTGACTTTTTCCAATGAACTTATTAGCAGAGATGAGGTAATGTATTGTGTCCTACGTATTGTCTTTGAAGAAAAGTGAGTTTCAAGGAGGGCAGAACATTTGTAAATAACCTATAGTTTTGCTAGAGCAAGCCAACTCTGTGGAGGTGGGTAAGCTTGGAGCAAGCTGAAAAGCAGAAAGGGAACAAAGCAGGTGAGTGGGTGCAGAAGTAGCATTTGGGCAGGGACAGGTGAAAAAGCGAATCCAGCAGTGAGTAGGGGATGCATGTCTGGGTGTGGTGAAACCCAGCTGACAGTGCTGGAGGTCGAGGTCCCTTATCTCACCCCCATATTCCCCAAGCTTTGGATCCCACAACTTGCAAACAGCCACCTGCATCCATCACCTGGCCAGCTGTGGACGAGCTGCTGCAGAAGCAGCAAACGTTGGTCCTCTCTGTGTCCTTACCCTACTACACAGGGATAAAATCTCCTGGGAGGGAGCAACTACAGGTCTGTGTTAGAGAGCAGTGCCTTTCAGCTGCAGATGTGAGGTGTCTGAGGGGTGCATGTCAGCACACTGAAGGTGGGCTGTGAGACTGTGTCTTCACGAGTGCCCTTTCTTTTCACTGCTGCTTACTAGTTGGCAGCAGTTCCCTGTGGCTGAGGCTTGTCTGTAAGTCAGCACACAATGTATGGCACTGTCAGCACTGAAAAAGCAGCAAGATCAGTTTTATTTGCAAGATAAATCTGCTAACAGTTGAACTTATCAAGTACTGAAGGTCTAAAAGAATAAAGAGCTTCCATAATGGAAGTAATCTCTGTGGGTTAGATAAACTGATTTGAAAGGAGGCATCTTATGAGAAGTCTTTAATGTGAAAGACTTTTGTTGAAGAAAATGCTACAACTGGTAAATAAAGCCAAACAATTCTTCAGCCTTGATTTCCTTGTGTCTTGTTTCTGTGAGTCATCATGAGCTGATCCATTCAAATAAGGAAGTATTTCTTTGTTAAAAAGATGACTTGCAGATGAACAGGGTGCAAATTCCCCACTACAGCAGTATAACTGCTTCTCTGCAGTGTTGAAAAGGTGTAGGATTTTTTGAGGTGGCATATTTCCAGCTTCAGAGCTGTTGATTATGAAGAGTAAGGCACGGTCCACACTGCACCTGCATCAAAAAACAGGAAATACTGTTAAAAAGCAGTGACAGTTAAAGAATCTACACTGGAAAACTACAACATGAACATTTTCTGATACATCTGAGCAGATAAATGGTTGATGCTCAGTATGGTTTTGAGCTGCAGACTCCTTGAGCTGCTAAGAACTCTCATTCTTAGAGGTGCCAACCTGCCCGAGGCAGCGGTCAGCACAGCACACTGGTTTGACCAAGAAGCCAGTCACCTCCTGCTGGTGGTCCTGCCCTGCAGCAGACAGCTAATGTGTCCATGGCAGGGGCGTGTGTGCCAGATTATGTGGTTTCAGGACTCTTTCATGACCTGAAGCATGCAGATTTCATAGCCTTTTTGAAAAACTTTTTGCTTCCAGATTTTGTTTTAACCCTTGTTCATGATAGCAGTGGGTTGTCTTTTTTACCCACAGCCTGCCAGGTCATGCTGACTAGTTTGCACTCTGAATGTGCCCTCATGGTACTCATGTGCTTTAATCAACAACACATTTTGTGTTGTCAAGAGGAGAGGCATGGTGTCACAGTGCTTGTTTGGAATGAGTGCAATTTGTTGGGCTCCGTGTTGGGTAGCTGGGTGAAATGTACAGGCTTATGTTTGGTGGGCTGAATTGGGATGTGGAAACCAACATTACAAATCTATAGATGGCCTGGTAGCAAGTCCTTCACACTAACTGCATTTTGTGTGGAGAGAGAGATGACTTATCTCTGATTTGGTGACTCTGATCTGAATCTACTCTTGAAAATGCTGTAAGGAAAAGCAAGGGAAGAAAGGCTACTAAAAAAGTAAAGATTGATGTGTAGGTATCTCAAAGTCAAGAATGGCTAGCAAGTTTATGCTGACTGACATTTCTGCAGGTCCATCTGTAGGAGTCTTTCCACAAAAGCATCTCTGATAGGAGGCTGGAACCCAGCATGGCTCTGCATAGAATCCTTAGCGGTAGAACAACTCTCAAAATGGGACTGGAGAAAGTGTATGCTGATTGTTATTTTGTTGTAGGTGGCACCTGTTGGATTTCAGATGTTACTAACTGAGTTTTTAACCAGAAATGCCCTTACGGGTCAGTTACATCTAGTAACATTAGGACTGTCAACAATCAAGTGTGTAAGAAGCTTAAACCTAAATTGAGGCTGCCTCTAATTAAGAGCAGACTGTGTGCAGCAGGGGAAAACTCTGTTTTTGTTGTTCTCTGTTATTTCAGGGTCTACACTGTGATTTTGCTTGTCTAATGTTCCATTATTTAGTGAACAGACCATCAGAAGAGAGGGTCCGGGAGATCATTGTTAATGCTGTTGAAATTGAACAGGTAAGTCTGGCCAGGACAATATCACGAGCAGCACAGCAGGAGGTGTATGTGCAAAAGTAAGCAAATTAACTTCTAACTTTTGGACTTTCATATTTAATGCTTGGATCCCTGATGCATTATAGCATTTTTTTCCCTCTTCCTTAACTGTGACAATAAAAGGCAGGCACTTTCTGATACAGCTGTCAAGTAACTGTGAGAAGCTGAAGCTGGCAAGCTGCTTTCTTCCTCAAAAGCCAAAAAGAAGAAAACATTCTCTATTGGAGAAGAGTCTGTTTACTTCTGACCTTTAGGATCTTTGTCTCTCCCTACTCATATAACCATAGCTGTTTGTCCTTTGTGAGAGCCCAGGGTCTCTTCTGGACGTGGGTACAGTGGGTTAGTGGTTCTAACTGTAAAAAAATTGCTGTTCTTTCATAGGAAGTGCTACTCAACTTCAGCTACGTGTTTCTGCATTGCACAGTGTTTTGCAGGACTGTAGTTTACCCTTTCTTGTCTGTTGTCATCTAACTGCTGTGATGATAACAAATGCCTTGCCTTACAGCCATGAAAGGTCTTGCATCAGTGCCTAAACATGCACGTGGTTGAGCTCAGTGCTCGTGTATCACTGTCCTCTGGTTTGTTGTTCTGTAATGGCTGGAAGGCAAGGAAAACTGGAGATTTCTGGATCTATTCCTTCTCCCACTCCTCTGGTCTGTAGGTTTTATTGAAGTTGGAACTCAAGCTTTCACTGAAGCTTGGGATCTAGCGGGGAAAAAAAAAGGAGGTGAGCAGTCAAAAAAATTCTTGTACCTTTTCCAGAAAAATGTGCTAAAAATAAAGGAAGATACAAGCAACTACTGAAAGCAGGAGATACTTGTTGAATTTAGTGATGCAAGTTATTTATTCAGACAACTGCCTGGGGAGCCTGGAATATCACAAATTGTGTTACTGTGAAACACAGGTGTCTTCTGTCCTTTTCTCCTGTTAAATTTCATTTCTCTAAATGTCATCTGTATTTTAACTTCCAGGAGTTTCTCACAGAGGCATTACCTGTAGGTCTGATTGGAATGAATTGCACTTTGATGAAGCAGTATATTGAATTTGTTGCAGACCGGTTACTAATGGAGCTTGGGTTCTCAAAGGTAAGAGATGAAACTGCAGAAATGCTGGCCTGCTGGAGCAGCCAGGAGAGCTGTCAGCAAAAGTGCTTTCCTGATGTACCTGCAAACAGGTTGCTTTTAGTGCTTGTACTTCTGTGAGTGACAGATGAAACCACAACATTAATATATGCACTTCCACATTTGAAAGAGCAAGAATAGTTCAGGCCATTGTTTCTCTTCAGTTGCTCTGCAGGTTGGTGTTGGGAAATTATGCTGTGCTCTTAGAAGGCTGACAAACACCTCACACAGAGGAGCTTCAAACTTCTGGGGGCACACAGTATTGAACTTGCTTACATTGCGCCCATAAATTCTACAGCATATTACAGTGAGGGATGATCTAATCTGAAATACATACGTATGCGTTTGTTACACATGGTTAGCTTTTCAGAATCAGCAGTGTAATAATGTTTATTTTCCCCAGGTTTTTCATGCAGAAAATCCTTTTGATTTCATGGAGAATATTTCTCTGGAAGGAAAAACAAATTTCTTTGAGAAGCGGGTTTCGGAGTATCAACGTTTTGCTGTTATGGCAGAAACAATGGACAATGTTTTCACTCTGGATGCAGATTTTTGATGCCTTGACAAATTAGCACTGACTGTCTCCCTCTCCCTTTCTGCTGTGAAGTTGTCTCCATTTCTTCTGCTGGAGTTGGAGCCCACTGGGATTTTTTTCCTGGGTTTTCCTGGTTTTTTTTTGAAGAGCAAATGCATTTTGCTCTGCATCACTAAGAAAAAGAAAAAAAAAGAAAGAGGAATTCTTTTTAAAAAATTTGTAAGGCTTTTTAAAAGGACAGCCTTTTTAAGATTCGTGTGGTTAATCTGCTGTAATTGCTGTCTTTAAAGATGGTCTGGGTACTGCTACTTTTTTAAAGACTTCTTTACTGTTTTAAGAAAGCAAGCAGCTTACTTACCTCCTGTTGTAGTACTTTAGTCTGGAAAAACAGATGAAGTATCACTCTATGTATATATGTTGCTATAAATTATTTTCATGCTTACTATTTTCATGTTTATAAATCTGATTGACAGTAAAAGCTCTTCCCTTTTGTCCTGCTGCAGATAGAGTAATAGGGGTTCTGAGAAGACATGAGTTCAATAAGGTAGGAGCTTGTTACACCCAGGGGTACAGTTTGATCTCTGCATTAACCTGGGTTCTATCTGGAGCAGTTTGTGCTCAGTTTGCAAACACGATGGCTGTCAGTAGGAGTACGAAACAAATACATAGGAGTTTTGTATTGCAGCTGTTGTGAAGCATGTCAGCAGACCTTGAGTGGTCCTTGACAAAGCAAGCCTGTTAATAGTGGAGAAAAAACACATGCTGTAGTTCTCTGGCTTGTGCTGTTTTTCACTGCTTCTATGAACAAGTGCCTTATAACAGTTTGTGGTTCTGCCGTGCTGCGCAGCTGGAACAGCAAGCACTGGGTGTTGTCTGTACTTTCTCTGTTGTGTGAGGTGGATGTTCTCTCCTTCTCCATTTCATTCTACACCGATGAGAGGGAGAAGGCATATTGCTGCAAGGGATGGTTCCTTGAGGTGCTACAAACATGCTGCTTGAGCTGTGGAGAGGCACTAATGACATACTGAGGCACTTCAACTTGCGTGTTTAATGTGAACCATTAAAAGCATTGTCACAGTGGAACTTCTGCAACAAGGTATTAAATCTTACAGAAATAAATCTTGAAGTAGCATGGATTGGCAGCATCTTACAAAGGACTGCTGTTGGGTTTTTAATGTGCTCCAGTTTGCGCCCCCACGATTTGAAGTCCCTTTACACTGCATGCTGAGAATGGAGCATTTGAAGAAGACCTTAAAATACTGCAGTGATAGGGTGGGAGGGATATTATGCATGTACAGGTGGATTGTTTGCAAATAGAGAGTTTTTTTTTCCCCCAGGATGACATAAGTGTGAATGAGCCAGACAAAGAGTTCTGCTTGATTAAACCCCAGCGTTTTATCACAAGATTAAGCAATTTGTATGAGAGCTTTTATAAGTCCTTTCTGTTGTTGCAAACAACTTGTGCTGCTCTAAATATACCTGGCATGAGATGAGCTGGCAGCGTTTAGTGGTGGTGGGGTGGTACAGGGTTGTTTCTCCAGCAGCCTAGATTAGCCACAGCCCCAGGTAGCTGCGCTCCATGAAGTGAGTTCACTGCAGTAGCATAATTCCTAGTGAACAGCTTTCTCTGCTGTGAACATTAGAAGCAAAACTGACTTTTTGTTTGGCCACAGTGAGATCATGGAATACGTAGTGAGCATATGAACAGGACAGCTTTTTGTTTTTTCCTAGAGAAGAGCTTGCATCATTTGACATAAACTACTTGTGGGGATAGAGGGAGACCTGGAAAATACAGAGACAAAAGTTGATCTGCTATCGCTAAGTAATGCTCTGTGACTGCAAGAGAACTGTGGAATCCAGAGTTAAAATCCAGCACCTTTTGCAAATACTGTATTGATGTTGGAGAATATGCTGTAAATGGTTCAGTTGTTGGACGAATGGAAAATGTTTTGATGTCACTGAAAGAAATAAAAAGCATTTGTTTTGAGTGCTGTCAATTGGGAGTATACAGATGGTTTAAAGATGAAACTGTTCTGTGCTCAGATTTTCTAAATGTACACGAGATACCAAAGTGATCACAGCTCATACTCTATTTGTGTGTAAAATATCTCTGTAGTTTCAATAACACACGAACATGGGCAGGAACATGCCTTTGTTTGCCAGTTGTGTGCTTTATTGTGGTCTAAAAGGATATAATTAGGCTGTGCCAGAGAAACTTGGTGTTCTTAGCTGGTGGTTTCTGGGAGAAAGCTAAATGTGCCTGTATGCTGTCTTCTGCTTTGTGAGCTCTTGACTCGCTGTTTCTTGTTCTAGAGTATGCAGTTTAGGGAACAGAGAACATTTTTTGTCCTGGAATTTTCTGGATTAAGAAGAAACCTCTTGGGAGTCCTTCAGATTGAAAGAAGAAATACTCCAGGAAAGTAATTTCACTGAGCTGTGTCTGATACCTGGAGCTGGAGGGAAGCAGCCCTCTGCCTTTTGGGGTGGTTGGTTACTCCTCCCCTGTTCGGTGGCTGGAAAAGTGTTTGTTTGGGGAAAAATACCTGAATATCAGGAGATGGAGATGTTGACTGAGGTTGTGATCGCAATGTCTTCTCTTCAAGCTGGCAGCCAGTTGGGAGTGGGGTACCTCAGTGATTGATACAAGGCCTTGTGCTGTTCAGTGTCTTCATAAACTATCTGGATGGTGGGATTGAATGTGCCCCGATGAAGTTTGCTGGTGACACTAAATTAAGTAGGGAAGCAGACACTTCTGAAGGGAGAGCCACCCTACAGCAAGACCTTGACAGGTTAAGGGAGTGAGCTAACAAGAACCTATGAAGGTCAGCAAAGACAAGCATTGGATCCTGTGCCTGGGATGGCATGATCCAGGAGTGTTGGGATCTGCTGGGCTCAAGAGCAGCGCTATGGAAAGGAACCCAAGCTCAACAGGAGTAAATACCATGCTGCTGCTACAAGAAGATGCCAGGAGAAATGCAGCATTATGCCTTGCCAGCTATGAAGGGGCACTTAAATGAGAGCTGTGGGCTCCATCCTGTGCTGGTGGGATGGGTTAGCACTGCGTGGCACCACACAGTCTGCCTGCCATTCCGCAAGGCCTCGCTGCTTGCCCCACACCACTCACTTTCTGTGGACTGAGGTGCAACTGTTCAGAAGCCTTGAGTAAGGACAACCCCTGCTTTTATAATACCTGCAGCCACCTTTGCGACTCCTCATGTTTTCTTTCAAGCAGAGGAACATGGGTCTGAGGAAAAACAGATAAACCACAGGTGCTTAATACAAGCTGACGGCATACACCCAGCCTTCACGAAACTGCTGTGAAGTTCAGTAGGTAGGTGATAATTCCCAGCTCTTGCTGGAAAGAAAAACAGTGAAAAACGGAGTGAGGACAATATGCATAGCTGTACCTGGAGCTGCAGCCAGCCCAGGCAAGCTGATACCATTCCCACCCATCGTGGTAGGCTAAGGGCTGACCAGGGCTGGTTTTCCTCCTGGTGGAGCCCTCGAGTCAGCAAATACTCATTTATCAGCTTGCTAAGTTCTCCAGGGCTGTGTTAGGGAGAGAAACATGGGTTGAAGATGCCCAGGTGATAACAATAGCCGTAGCCTAGTATGTTAGCCAGAGGGCTGCTTGTGTGATAGGGGTGGCACTCTGCTCTGCGTTGTGTTCTGCAGAAACAGCACATGCATAAAGCGAATGTCAGTTTGTACAGGTAGGGAAGCACAGTGCATGTATGTGAAATGAGAGCTGGGGAAGAAGCAGGCCTCTGGGGAACGGCAGAGCGGTCGGAATTTTTTTCTCTTCTTTGCAGTTGGCAGCTCCAGAAGCGTTAGCGGGCAAATAGTTTTTATTCGTTTGCTGAAAGCCTCTGGCCCTGGAATCAACTTGAACTTCAGAGCTGCAGGAGACATTTGGCTGCCCAGAGAAATTTCTTAGCACAGCTCCAGATTTTTTCTTGCCCAAGTACTTCCCTGTGATGCTCAGTGTCGGGCACAGCCGAGCCTCAGGAAGCACTGCCTTCGAGTTGTGTTATGAGGAAGAGGGGATCCTCTGTCAGGCAGTGACCAGGGTGCAGGAGCTGCCTGGCTGCAGCACAGTGCCCGCCCAGCAAACCTTTCCACCTGGGATCTGCCACCACGGCACAGTCCCACTCTACCAAAGCTAGGATGGCAGCATGGTTTGCACCACGCTGGCTTGTGTTTGCCCTTCCAAAGTCTCAGCAGTATTTCAGAGCACACTAGAGCACAGGTGAATTTTTTTTGAAGCAGAAGCCCATGAGGAGACCTGTGAGCGCCCCTGGGCCATGACGTGCCCCCACAGGGCAGGAGGCTACCAAAGGGGCTGCACAGCTGGGAGGGGGTTCCTTCAGTTCTCAGTGGCATCCTGAAGACCTCATCTGGAGCTGATGATTTGTCAGCAGCAGCTGTCCTGATTTTATAGCGACTGGGATGAAAGGGAGAAACACGAGGCCATACAAGAGGGCCTTTGGCTGGGGATGACCGGGGCCATGTCCGTCCTGCGGGTCTGCTGGCTGCCAGCACACAGCCTTGCAGAGAAGGCTGGCAGGAAACCCTGCATACATTGCTCTTGGCTCCTGGGGCTGCTTCTGTGGCAGGGAATTTACAGGCTCGTAAATGTATCTGAGGGATTGTTAGATCAGCCAGTAAACTTTCCAAGGGTCTTGCAGACGTGGTTCTGGTGGGTAAAGGGTTGCATCCCAAGGGTTCCCTCTGGCCAAGCACACAGTGGTGAGGAGCCATGCCCTGTGGTCCGGGCACTATGGAGTGAGTGCAGACCTATGGGCAGAGCAGGACTGAGGGGGCCGTGGTGTCAGTCCAGGGGGTAGCATGAAGGCAGCTGCTGTCTGTGGGTGAGGTGGGGATGGCAAGCACTGTGTTTTGCAGCAGCTCTGTGCTAGGGCTCATTCTGTGCCTTTCACTGACTCTGCTTACATCGCCTGCAAGAAAAAAAGAAAGAATCATGCAGAAGGCAAATTTACTTTACCAATTAAAAATAAACCCCAGCCCCCTGCTCAGCTGTTCCTTGGCATCCGCTCCCACGCAGCAGCAGCGTCTCATGGCCCTGCTGCTGACGGGTGGTTATTTTTTTGTTGTTTTTTT